GCGCCGCTCCCTCGTGAGCGCCGACGCCGACGACGACGACGACGACCACGGCGGCGACGACGACGACGACGGCGACGACGACGGCGAGGACGACGACGACGGGCGACGGGCGACGACGGGCGACGGGTGACGACGACGGGCGACGCGCGACGCGCGACGGGCGCGCGGCCAAGATCCGTTCACCCCGGCGAGATCCGACGCCGTCTGAGGCATCGCGGCGCCGCCGCGAATCACGGCTGGACCTCCCGACCGAGTCCCTGTACCGCGGGTTCACGTCGTGCCGACCCGCGGCGACCCCGCCGCCACCGTTCAGCGTTGAACGCCGCTGGCGACCCAGAGTCGGTCGATGGTGAACGAGCTGACGTTCCGGAAACGGCCGATCGTTCGACGAAACCAAAGAGCTCTCAAGCTGTGGATGGCGATCTTTACACTGCTGCCTGACTCTAGCTCATGGGAACAATGCCCCTACTAGTTTCAAGCCTCGGCGGCTTGAGCCGATCGTTCAAGGTGGAACGGTCCTCGTGGTGTCACGAACCCGCCGCAGGGTCTCCCCCGTGCTGGACCGCTTGGGCCCGACACGCGGCGGAAGTTCATTGTTGTTGTTGAACATTATTTCTTCTTAAGAATAATTATTGTTGGGACCCCTGGTGCACGCCCCCCCCGCCGCGCCTAGGCCGCAGCCTCATTTTCATCATTTTCGTGAGGAAGCCTCAGGTAAAACGATGTGATCCAGATCCGGTTGTTTTGTTGTAATCCGTTTTCCCTTGCAAAAAACACTATAAAATGACATTTCTTGTTCTAATATAATCAAATTTCAAGAATCCCTTGCAAAAAATAAGGTAAAGTGGACATTCGCGCGCGCAAGACGAAATCCTTCCAAAACCTTAGTGTTCGCAGCGATTTTAACATAAAAACATCAAAAAACCAATGGTTTTTCAACAAAAAATTGTCAAAATCTCATCCCGCGCGCTCTTGCGGATTCGTAGGAAACCCAACACTTTTTAAACATTTCTGTCAAACGGGCTTTTGCGAGCAACTTTTTCGAACTTCTGCAACAACGGTTGCGCACCTGCCAGGGCCATCATCCCTGTCAAATAATACCATGCGGGACACATTCGTTTTTTCTTCGCGCGCGCACGCCGTCGTCGTCGGCCGCGGGGCCCTGAATAGTAGCCACGGTCGTCCGCATGCCACGAAGTGAAGTGTCCGAACGTCATAGGGCGGGAAGCTGGGTGTGGGTGGTGGCGAAGAGTCGTTTGGAAATTTGGTAGAGCTTGAACCGGCCCCCCCACAAAGTGGGGGTATTGCCCGCCTCCTATGAAAACCCTGGCACTGGTGAGAACGGAGTGGCGTTGAACATTATTTCTTCCCCCTGGTGCGCGCCGCGCCTAGGCCGCAGCCACATTTTCATCATTTTCGTGAGGAAGCCTCAGGTAAAACGATGTGTCAGATCCGGTTGTTTTGTTGACGCCCGCTTTCCCTTGCAAAAAACACTATAAAATGAAATTTCTTGTTCTAACATAACCAAACTTCAAGAATCCCTTGCAAAAAATAAGGTAAAGTGGACATTCGCGCGCGCAAGACGAAATCCTTCCAAAACCTTAGTTTTCGTAGCGATTTTAACATAAAAACATCAAAAAACCAATGGTTTTTCAAAAACAAAATTGTCGAAATTTCATCCCGCGCGCTCTTGCGGATTCGTAGGAAACCCAACACTTTTTAAACATTTCTGTCAAACGGGCTTTTGCGAGCAACTTTTTCGAACTTCTGCGACAACGGTTGCGCACCTGCCAGGGCCATCATCCCTGTCAAATAATACCATGCGGGACACATTCGTTTTTTCTTCGCGCGCGCACGCCGTCGTCGTCGGCCGCGGGGCCCTGAATAGTAGCCACGGTCGTCCGCATGCCACGAAGTGAAGTGTCCGAACGTCATAGGGCGGGAAGCTGGGTGTGGGTGGTGGCGAAGAGTCGTTTGGAAATTTGGTAGAGCTTGAACCGGCCCCCCCACAAAGTGGGGGTATTGCCCGCCTCCTATGAAAACCCTGGCACTGGTGAGAACGGAGTGTCCCCACGTGCTAGTAATTGTTGTTGTTGTTGTTGTTGTTGTTGTTGTTGTTGTTGTTGTTGTTGATCCTCCCTCACCGGTGAATACTGTGCCCCTCGACGCTCGCACCCTGTTTTTTGACAGGGAACGTCTTGATGCTCAAACTGTGCCCCTGGCCCCCCGGGTTGCAACAACAAGGGCTCCCGCCTGAGACTTCCTCACGATTTAGCCAGGACCTCCGCTCCCGCCTGAGACTTCCTCGCATTTTATTCAGGAATTGCGCTCTCGCTTAGGACTTCCTGACAATTTATTTAGGAATCGTTCTCTCGGCGCTCTGGAGTCGCGCTCTCGCTGGAGACTTGCTTGTAATTTGCTTAAGAATAGCGCCCTTGCGTTGGAATTTCCCGTAATTTACTCAAGCGCCGCGCTCCCAACATTCCCGCACCCAGGAGTCGCGCTCACGCTTAGGACTCCCTCACAGATTATTTAGGAAGCGGGATCTCGCTGCCTTTCGTGGCCCCGTTGCAGCCCTTCGTGGCTCCCTCGCTGCCATTCGCGGCCCCCTTGCAGCCCTTCGTGGCCCCTTCGTTGCCCGTCGTGGCCCCGTTGCAGCCCTTCGTGGCCCCCTCGCTGCCCTTCGTGGCCCCGTCGCAGCCCTTCGTGGCCCCCTCGCTGCCCTCCGTGGCCCCGTTGCAGCCACTCGTGGCCCCCTCGCTGCCCTTCGTGACCCCTTTGCAGCCACTCGTGGCCCCCTCGCTGCCCTTCGTGGCCCCGTTGCAGTCCTTCGTGGCCCCCTCGCTGCCCTTCGTGACCCCTTTGCAGCCCTTCGTGGCCCCCTCGCTGCCCTTCGCGGCCCCATACATGTATGCCCTTCGTGGCCCCCGCTCGTTCGCGCCCGTCGTGGCCCCATAGGCATGCCCTTCGTGGCCCCGCTGTCGCCCTTTGTGGCCCCCTCGCTGCCCTTCGTGGCCCGGTTGCTGCCCTCAGTGGCCCCCTCTTTGCCCTCCGCGGCCCAATATATGTATGCCCTTCGTGGCCCCCGCTCGTTCGCGCCCGTCGTGGCCCCATGTGCATGCCCTTCGTGGCCCCGCTGTCGCCCTTCGTGGCCCCCTCGCTGTCCTACGTGGCCCAGTTGCTACCCTCAGTGGCCCCGTCGTTGCCTTCGGTGGCCCCGCATAATCTGCCCTTCGTGGCCCCCGCTCGTTTGTGCTACTCGTGGCTCCATACGCTTTCCTTTCGTGTCCCCGCTGTCGCCCTTCGTGGCCTACTTCGTGATCTTTGTGGCCCCGCTGTCGTTCTCTCTCTCGCTCTCGCTTTCGCTCGTCGTCGTCGTCGTCGCCGCCGCCGTCGTCGTCGTCGTCGTCGTCGTCGTCGCCGACGTCGTCGTCGACGTCGTCGTCGTCGTCGCCGTCGTGGTCGGTCCCCTGTCCGTCCCTCTTGGGGTCGGGTTGCCGCCGACCAGCGCTGCCGCTGGCCAGGCCGACGGTCCGCGGCCGCCCCGCCGCTTGCCAGGGCCCGGCCTGCAGGGAAGAAAGGTTTACCTCCCAAAAGGGGTACGATCGAAGACGAAGAGGGCGGGTATCGAGGGTTTGGGAAGTACGCGTTAACGGACACTCGAGCAGATAAGAGCGGACAGTCTTAAACTGATTGTTGTTGAACATTATTTCTTCTTAAGAATAATTATTGTTGGGGCCCCTGGTGCGCGACCCCCCCGCCGCGCCTAGGCCGCAGCCACATTTTCATCATTTTCGTGAGGAAGCCTCAGGTAAAACGATGTCATCCAGATCCGGTTGTTTTGTTGACGCCCGCTTTCCCTTGCAAAAAACACTATAAAATGAAATTTCTTGTTCTAACATAACCAAACTTCAAGAATCCCTTGCAAAAAATAAGGTAAAGTGGACATTCGCGCGCGCAAGACGAAATCCTTCCAAAACCTTAGTGTTCGTAGCGATTTTAACATAAAACATCAAAAAACCAATGGTTTTTCAAAAACAAATTGTCGAAATTTCATCCCGCGCGCTCTTGCGGATTCGTAGGAAACCCAACACTTTTTAAACATTTCTGTCAAACGGGCTTTTGCGAGCAACTTTTTCGAACTTCTGCAACAACGGTTGCGCACCTGCCAGGGCCATCATCCCTGTCAAATAATACCATGCGGGACACATTCGTTTTTTCTTCGCGCGCGCACGCCGTCGTCGTCGGCCGCGGGGCCCTGAATAGTAGCCACGGTCGTCCGCATGCCACGAAGTGAAGTGTCCGAACGTCATAGGGCGGGAAGCTGGGTGTGGGTGGTGGCGAAGAGTCGTTTGGAAATTTGGTAGAGCTTGAACCGGCCCCCCCACAAAGTGGGGGTATTGCCCGCCTCCTATGAAAACCCTGGCACTGGTGAGAACGGAGTGTCCCCACGTGCTAGTAATTGTTGCTGTTGTTGCTGTTGTTGCTGTTGTTGCTGTTGTTGTGGTGGTGGTGGTGGGTGATCGTGTGGTTTTCTTTGCTTGCGGCTCCAGGTTTTGGGAGCTCGCTGGCGCCTCTGCCCCTCCCCCTGTTTCGCCCCCCCTCCCCCTCCCCCCCTCCCCCTCCCCACCCCTCCCCCTCCACCCTTCCTCTCCTCTCCCCCTAGCCCTTCCCCCCTCCCTTCTCCCCCATCCCCTCCCCCTCGGCCTCCCCCCTCCCTGCCTCCTCTCTCCCCCCCCCCCCGCCTCCTCTCCCCCTCCCCCTCCCTCTCCCCTCCAGCCATCGCGTGTGTCTCCCCCCCCTCCCTTCCCTCCTCTCCCCCCCACCCCTTCGATTCCTTTCTCGAGGGGCCTCTCCAGGCCTCCGGACGACCCCATGGCAACCTCGGAGTGCATCCGAGACGCCCCCCGCCGCGCAGCGAGGCCAACCTCGCAGACGCGCAGGCGGCGGAGGAGAAGTCCGTGGCAGACTTCGAGGCCCTGAAGAAGGCGAAGGAGGAGGACGCCGTGGCCCCGCTCAGGGCGGGGGGGGGGGCGAGGCGGAGGGGGAGCGGGCCCTTTTTCGTCCGCGGTTTCGCTCCTCCCCGCGTGGCTCTCCCGCCTCCTGTCTTCCTTCACCGCCTCGCGGTTCCGGTTGTCGCTCTCGCCTCCTGCTCCTTCGTCGTCCTCATCTTCGCCTTCCTCTCTCGTTTTCCTCCGCCTCCTGTGTCGCAAGCCGAAGGGCCTTGGGAGGACCGCCAGCGTGGAGGGGAACAACGGCGGAGGGAGGGACCAAGACGATGGGGATAGAAGCGCAAATGAGGGGAGCGGGATAGAAGAGGAGGGACGAAGACGAGGGGATGGGAGAGGAAAGGAGGCACGAAGACGAGGGGATGGAAGAGGAAAGGAGGGGATGGGGGAAATACGGAACGGGGTAAGAGAAGGGGAGGCGAGGCAGAGGGGAAGCGATCGATGGGATGGCAAGGGAGCGGAAGCGAGAGCGTGAGGGAGGGAGGATCGGAGGGGCGAGAGTTTGGATGAACCAGCAGCCCCGTCGCCGTTTGGCAGCGATGATTGCATCGGGGAGGGGTGACGGACCAGGGATGTAGCAGGACCAGTGTAAGCAGAAGAAGCGTAAGGAGCCAAAGGAGGTTGGGGAGGGGGACTGGAGGGGGAGGGGGAGGGGGAAGGGGAGGAGGAGGAGGAGGAGGAGGAGGAGGAGGAGGAGGTGGAGGAGGAGGAGGAGGAGGAGGAGGAGGAGGAGTGTAAACCCAAGAGTCATCAGCGATGTTGGAATAAACCCTCCCTCCAAGCTCCCTCTTCATAGGCCCCAACAGGGTTTCATTTTCACTGATGGAACTGCCCCGTTGGAAGACACGCGTTTGACGACCCTGAAGCATACCAAAACATCGTTCTCGGGATTCCATCGCCACGGATCAACCTGACTGTTGCGTCTTGACGATCCGGAACCGTGCCAGAACGTCATTCCTGGGACGTCAACGGCGCGAATCAACAACTGTTGCGCCCTCATAATCCTGAATCCTTTCAGAACTCAATTTCTGGTACGCTGATCATGGGAATCCGTGCGACTCTTGTAATTGTTTAAAACGAATGTGCGCGGCGCTGAGGCGAGAGCCACATTTGGAATCTTAGCCGCCGTCAATCCGAGAACCCCTCTGACATATTTTCCCAACCCTCCTTGGTTGGGCATTCGTTTTGAATAGGGCACTGTGGTCGCGTCCCTGCTCCTTCTCCTCCTCCTCCTCCTCCTCCTCCTCCTCCTCCTCCTCCTCCTCCTCCCGCCTCCCGCCTCCCGCCTCCTGTCTCCCGCGAGATCTCGCCGTCCCTGGGGGGAGCGGGCTGCGATCTGCGGAACTGTCGCCACTTTCGAGGGCTGCTGGTGGGTACAGCGGAGTGAGGCACCGCGGGGATCTGAGGTAGACCTCGCCGTCCCTGGGGGGCTGCGATCTGCGACGCTGTCGCCACTTTCGAGGGCTGCTGGTGGGTCCTGCGGAGTGAGGCACCGCGGGGACCTGAGGTAGACCTCGCCGTCCCTGGGGGGCTGCGATCTGCGACGCTGTCGCCACTTTCGAGGGCTGCTGGTGGGTCCTGCGGAGTGAGGCACCGCGGGGATCTCAGGTAGACCTCGCCGTCCGTGCGGGGCTGCGATCTGCGAAACTATTGCCCCTTTCGAGGGCTGCTGGTGGGTCCTGCGGAGTGAGGCACCGCGGGGATCTGAGCGAGACCTCGCCGTCCCTGGGGGGCTGCGATCTGCGACAAATGTACGCCTAACTTTCGAGGGCTTGCTGGTGGTCCTGCAGACTGAGGCACCGCGGGGATCTGAGCGAGACCTCGCCGTCCCTGGGGGGCGCTGCATCTGCGACACTGTCGCCACTTTCGAGGGCTGCTGGTGGGTTCTGCGGAGTGAGGCACCGCGGGGATCTGAGCGAGACCTCGCCGTCCCTGGGGGGCCTGCGATCTGCGACGCTGTCGCCACTTTCGAGGGCTGCTGGTGGGTCCTGCGGAGTGAGGCACCGCGGGGATCTGAGTGAGAGACCTCGCCCTCCCTGGGGGGCTGCGATCTGCGACGCTGTCGCCACTTTCGAGGGCTGTTGGTGAGTCCTGCGGACTGAGGCACCGCGGGGATCTGAGCGAGACCTCGCCGTCCCTGGGGGGCCTGCGATCTGCGACACTATCGCCACTTTCGAGGGCTGCTGGTGGGGCCTGCGGAGTGAGGCACCGCGGGGATCTGAGCGAGACCTCGCTGTTCCTGGGGGGCTGCGATCTGCGACTTTCGAGGGCTGTTGGTGGGTCCTGCGGACTGAGGCACCGCGGGGATCTGAGGTAGACCTCGCCGTCCCTGGGGGGGGGGGCTGCGATCTGCGACGCTGTCGCCCCTTTCGAGGGTTGCTGGTGGGTCCTGCGGACTGTGGCACCGCGGGGATCTAAGGTAGACCTCGCCGTCCCTGGGGGGGCTGCGATCTGCGACGCTGTCGCCACTTTCGAGGGCTGCTGGTGGGTCCTGCGGACCGGTGCGCCGCGCGGATCTGAGGTAGACCTCGCTGTTCCTGGGGGGCTGCGATCTGCGACAGTGTCGCCACTTTCGAGGGCCGCTAGTGGGCTCGCCACTTTCGAAGGCTGCTGGTGGGTCCAGCGGAGTGAGGCACTGCGCAGACCTGAGCGGGACCTCGTCGTCCTTGGGCGGCCATGCCATGTTGTTGTTGCACCGCCGACGTTTCAAGCCCCCTGCTCACAGTCTCCTTTTGGTCTTTGCGTCTTCCTTAGTGACTCCGGGGCTCACTTAGTTACTCATCGTTTTTCCCCTGATTGGGGGCCTGCGAACCTTCCGACTGCCGCTTGCAGAAGTGGATGCGTCCATGGCACGTTGCCGCCTTCTGGCCAACTCTCCCAAGCTACTCCTGCCCCGCATTGCGCAGGGGTTGGGTACGTCGCCAGGGTAATTTAAAATGAATGTGCGCGTCGCTATGGCGAAAGCCCCATTTGTAAAACGGGTCGCCGTCAATCCGTGACGCTCTTTCAAATCTGTAAATCGAATGTACGAGGCGCTCAAGCGATAGCCACATTTTGAAAACGGGTTGCCCTCAATCCGTGAAGCTCCTGCAAATTTGTAAAACTAATGTGCGCGGCGCTCAGGCGAGAGCCACATGTTGAAAACCACCCGCCCTCCATCCGTGAAGCTGTTGCCCATTTTCAAGCTTCAGGGTCATAAGCGGTGAGGAAGTCTTAGGCGAAACGCTCGGCCCGCCTTAAAAACTGGCCTCGGGGTGCGGCAGGGAGAAGTTACTGATAAGGAGAAGGAATGGACGAGGAGGATGTGAATGATCAGGAGGTGGAGGCGGAGGAGGAGGAGGAGGAGCAATGGGTGGAGGCGGGGGCGATGGTGGGGGAGAGGGGAAGGATGAAGTGCAAGAGCGATGGGTGGGGGTATTGGAGTAGAGATACGTCGTGGAATCGGAGTCGTAGTTGGAGTCGTCGTCGTCGTCGTCGTCGTCGGTGGAGGGGAGGAGGACCAGCAGCAGCAGGAGACACCTGAAAGGAGCGAGAAGAGGAATGAGGAATCTCATTGCCCATAGAGAGGCGGTCCCAGGGGAGAGGCGGTCCCAGGGGAGAGGCGGTCCCAGGGGAGAGGCGGTCCCAGGGGAGAGGCTGGGCCAGAGGTCGCGAGGGTTTAGTCCCAGCATCCTGATGCTCGTCCTGGCCTGCCTTGGGATAGTTCCTGCCGTTCTTCAGGTCGGTGAGTCTTGCTCACCGAGACCTTCCCTCTCACCAGACAGAGGACATAGAGGAGGTTGAGAGCGAAGGCGAGGCGCAGGAGCGGGAGTGGGGGGGGAGGAGGAGGAGGAGGAGAAGGAGGAGGAGGAGGAGGAGGAGGAAGAGGAGGAGGAGGAGGAGGAGGGGGAGGAAGAGGGAGAGGGTGAGTTAGAAGGATGATGCTGCTGCTGATGATGCTGCTGGTGATGCTGATGATGATGATGCTGCTGATGATGATGATGATGTTGATGCTAGTGATGCTGCTGCTGATGATTGTAATGTTGATGCTTTTGACGCTGCTGCTGCTGATGACGATGATGATGCTGATAATGACGATGATGTTGCTGATGCTGATGATGATGATGATGGTGGTGGTGGTGATGATGATGGTGGTGGTGGTGATGATGATGGTGGTGACGATGGTGATGGTGATGGTGATGATGATGATGCTGATGATGATGAATCTGATGATTATGCTGATGATGCTGATGATGATGCTGATGATGATGCTGATGATGATGCTGATGATGATGATGATGATGCTGATGATGATGATGGTGGTGGTGGTGGTGGTTGTGATGATGATGATGATGCTGATGATGATGATGATGATGATGAGGAGGAGGAGGAGGAGGAGGAGGAGGAGGCGATGGTCGCACGCTCACTTCTCGCGAGGAGATCGCCGCCGGCAACAAGCTCGTGCGGGAGGCCTGCGGCATTCAGCGAGCCCGCGCGCTGTCGGAGGGGGTAGAAGGGTGGCCCAATGGTGGTGCGCGGATGGTGCTCTTTTGGGGGCGATGGTTACAACGACAATGACGAGGACCGATGAGGGCGGTGGTGATGTTGATGACCGTGACAGTGACTGTGGCGATGACGGTGACTGACGGTGATGATGATGATTCCGATGATGATGATGATGATGATGATGATGATGATGATGATGATGCTGATGCTGATGATGATGCTGATGCTGATGCTGCTGCTGATGATGATGATGCTGATGATGATGATGATGATGATGATGATGATGAGGATGATGCTGATGCTGATGCTGATGCTGCTGATGCTGATGCTGATGCTGATGCTGATGCTGATGATGATGATGATGATGATGATGATGATGATGATGATGATGATGATGATGATGATGATGATGATGATGAAAGAGCGTATTCTACCGCTGCTGGCGGAAAACTTGGGGTGGTCACTAGGGGTTCCCAACCCGTCCCCCGCCCTCGAAGACCGGGGGG